ATGGAGCGGGGGGCGGCTGGGGATGGGGGCGTGAGGGGTCGGGAGGAGCCAGGGGATGAGCTCTGCCCGGGGAGTGATGGGGGGGTGGGATGGGGGTGGTCGCAGCCCCTCACGGGGGTCTCTGGGGTGGCTTAGGGGTGGTCCCAGCCCCTCATAGATGGATTCTGCCCCAGGAAGGGACAGGAGGCCCAGCCTGGAGATGATCCCAGCCCTTCACAGGTGGGCATTGCCCTGGGAAGTGATGGATGGTGGTCGCAGCCCCTCACAGGGGGCTCTGGAATGACCTAGGGGTGATCCCAGCCCCTCACAGGGGGCTCTGGGGTGGCCTGGGGTTGGTCCCAGCCCCTCACAGGGGGCTCTGGGGTGACCTGGGGGTGATGACAGCCCCTCACAGGGGGCTCTGGGGTGACCTGGGGGTGGTCCCAGCCCCTCACAGGTGGGCACAGATGGCGTGGGCTGTGCCGTGCATGGCTCTGAAGGGAGGAGGAGGAGGAAGAGGAGGAGGAAGAGGAGGGGGAGAAGGTGCAGGGCTGCAGGCAGCTGCTGCTGCCCTCCTTTTGCTTGACTAAACCCCGCTGCCTGGACAGCTTCTGACTGGCGCTGGTGGGAGGCGGCGGGCGGAGGGGGGAACGCGGCCGTGCCCCCCATGTGCCCCTCCTGGGGCAGCAGGGGACAGCAGGGCTTGCTCAGTGCCCCGAGGGCTGCCACCTACCCCTGCGACAGCGCGGTGGCCTTGTCCTCGTGTCACCCGCAGCTTCCGGAGGTGGGGTGGGATTCGCCCCCAGCCCGGAGGGACCGGCTCGGTGTCGCCGTGCCCTGCGGCCAGGGGGATGTGTCACATGTCCCCGCAGCCTCCCTGTCCCGTGGCTGCTCAAGCTGACAGCGAATCCTTGCAGGATTTCACCCCGCGTTTCCCATCTCCGAGCACGATTTCCTGCAGCTCGGAGGCCTCAGACGCCGCTCTGAGATATTTTTTTTTTCCCCCAGCATTTCTGATTTTTAACGAGCTGTGACTAACCGGGCTGGCACGGCAGGCGGTGACCAACCACCAACGTGCTACCTGTGCGCTCAGAAATAGGGTCTGTTCTCCACGCCCCCGCCGGGAGCGTTCCCGGCCTCCCCAGGGCCCCCCCGGGACCCGCACCCAGCTTTTCCCGGCCTCTGGCAGTGCCCAGCTCCCGGCAGGAGTCACCCAAATGGGCAGTGCAGCCTAAATCCTGCCTGGAGGATGCGGGATCGGGGCTCGGTGATGCGGATGGAGCTCCAGGATGGGCTCCGAGCCCATCCTGGGGGTGGCAGAGCCAAGATTTGGGTGAGCTGGGTCTCCTGTGCCAAGGATGGGGCTGGGCTGAGCGTGGCTGTGGGATTGTTGTGGTCCCAAATCCTCCGAGGCAGGAAAAATCCCCGTCCCGAGTGCTCCCGAGTGTAATCGAGCCCTTTGGAGCTTTGTGGGGCAGAGGACTGGGAACGCCGTGGGCTTGGCTTGGATCCTTCCCCTCATGGCTTCTCTCCCGTCCCTCCTGGAGTGGGATTTGGGGTGCCAAAGGCCCTGTGCCCAGCTCTGGGCTTTGCCCTGGCAGCTGCTGGTGGCCACAGGCCAGGCTGGAAGGTCGCAGTCCCCTCTGCTGCTCCTGCCCGTTCCTCCTGTCAGGGAAGTGACAGCGTTTGGAGCGGATTTTGGGAAGGAATTCCTCCCCGTGAGGGTGAGAAGGAGCTGGGATGGAATTCCCAGAGCAGCTGGGGCTGGTCCTGCATCCCTGGAAGTGTCCAAGGCCAGGCTGGATGGGGCTTGGAGCGGCCTGGGAAGGTGGGAGGTGTCTCTGCCATGGCAGGGGGGCACCGGATGGGATTTAAGATCCCTTCCCACCCAACCCATCCCAGGATTCTGTGGTTGTGGAGGCCTTGATGGTGCTTTATTGAGGGAGTTGATTTTTGGTCTTGGTCCCCTCCAGCCCTTCCTCCCCTTCCTCTTGCCCTTCCTCCTCCTCCTCCCAGCCCTTCCTCACCCCTGCCCAGCTCCGTGGCCTCTCCAGCCTGTCCAGAGAGATCAGAACCAAATCCCAAACCCTGGAATGAGGTCCTGGCTCATTCCGGTAAATCCCGGGAAAGGCTGGAGCCAGAACCTCCTGATCTTTCCCTGTCCATGTATCCATGGATCCATGGATTTCATCCATCCATCCATCCATCCATCCATCCATCCATCCATCCATCCATCATCCATCCATCCATCCACCCATCCAGTCACTGCCCCACGGCTCAGTCACTGCCCCATGGCTCAGTCACTGCCCCACATCCACCCCGCATGGAGCCTGCAGGAGCCAAAACCTTGGGAAAACTCCGTCTCCTTTCAATTCCAGCCTGGAATTGACTCCCACGCTGGCTTTGACTCCCTTCCCTCTCAGCACCGCCGCCCGCAACCGGACCCGTGTCACCGTGCCTCAGTTTCCCTCTCCCAAAGGAGATTCCCGGGCTATTCCCATGGCAGCTGCCAGGCCCCGGCTGTGCCGCGGGGGTGGGCGACACAAAGCGGCTTCTGTCGGAGCCGTGAAGAGCGCGGCCCTGGCCAGCCGCGCCTCTCCTTCATTCTCATCCCGTGTCCCCAAGCTGCTGGCAGGTCCCCAGCCGAGGATGCCAGGGCACGCAGGGCTCCATCCTCCTCCTCCTCCTCCTCCTCATGGCCGCTCTGCCCGGGCAGGGATGTTTTCCATGCTCCGGCTCAGCCTCCAGCCAGCGAGCCAAGGGCAGAGGGAAGATTTTCCCAGCTCTTCCAGCTGGAATTTGTCCTTCCCACCCTCTGCCCCTCGTTTTCCCTGGCTCTCCCAGTTGGAATTTGTCCTTCCCTTCATTCCCTTTGCTCCTTATTTTTCCTTGGCTCTCCCAGTTGGAATTTGTCCTTCCCACCCTCTGCCCCTCATTTTCCCTTGGCTTCCCGAGGGCAGCTGGAAGATTTTCCCGGCTCTCCCAGTTGGAATTTGTCCTTCCCCTCATTCCCTCCTCTCCTCGTTTTCCCTTGGCTTCCCGAGCTTTTCCCGGCTCTCCCAGTTGGAATTTGTCCTTCCCACCCTCTGCCCCTCATTTTTCCTCGGCTTTTTCCTTCCCTCATGGCTCCAAGCGAGCATCCAGGTGTGTCCAGCCAGTTCCCTTGGCACTGGCTCTCCGGGATTTTGGGAGGTGAACTCGTCTCCCGTCTCCATGTGGGCGCGTGGGCGCGATCACACCCGGCGAGGTGGGAAAAAGTGGCGGCTGCTTTTTCCAGGGCCGGCCAGATGGGATTTCTCCCTCAGGTTTGGGTTCTGACAAGTGACATGCAGGATTTATCCGGTGGCTTCGGCGCTTCCAGAGGGAAGGAGCCGCCTGGCAGGGCAGTGTCACCGGGAGATGCCAGCTGGGCCCCTCCGAGCTGCAGCCAGGAGCGGCTTGGGGCGAGCTGCGAGTCCCGGCGCTGCTCCGGAGTGGGAATTAGTGGGATGCGGGCATGGAGAAGGCGGCGTTCAGGGCTGGGAACGGGCAGGATCCCAGGATTTCACCCGGAGAATCCACGGCGAGCGGGCACGGTGCCCCTGAGCAAAGCCTGGCTCTGTGGGGTCCCGCCTGGGAAGTTCCCCATGGAACAGCGGGGGGGGGACGCGATTTTCCGCCGTTCCGCTGGAATTTGGGAGTGAAAGGCACGGCGGGGAGCCCGCTGCCTGCGGCTGAGCCCGGCCGGGAATCCTTGGGAATGCGGGGGGGGATGAGGCTGGAGAAGAATTCCCGCATCCCAGGGGACATCACGGGGAGGTTTGTCCCCTGCTGGGTGCTCACGGTCCCCTGCGGGTGGCCTTGGCGTCACCTGGCTTTTCCCAGAGGATTTGGTGGCCGCTCCATGAGCCCGGGGGCGAGGGGAGGGTGGGGAATTTTCGTCCCGGTCGCCGCCACCTTCCGCTGTTGTGTCGCTGTGAGAGGGACAAGGACACCCCGCGGTCCCCTCACTTCCACATTCCCGTCCTGGGATGGAGCCTGGCTCTGCCCCGCTCCCGGCATTCCCACAGCCCGCAGGCTTGGCCCAAAACAAGGCTGGAATTCTCTGGGAATTGGCTTGAAGTGGCCAGACCGGGCCAGGGTTGGACCCATCGGGGACACCGGTGTCCTCCGATGTCACCCGCCTTGTCCCTGCTCCGGGGCGCGGGTTTCTGTGGAGAACTTGAGCACCTGGGCACCTTTTTGGGTCTCAGGGTGGGTCCTGGAAGGCGCTTGGCCATCCCAAAATGAGCGGGCATGGAGGTGGCGGAGCCAGGGACGGGTGACAACGGCTCGGACGGTGCCTCCGAGCCACCTGGCGAGGCCGAACCTCCCCTCCCATGGCACCGCCAGGATCTTCCTGATTTTCCCACCTCAAACCAGCCCAGAACCCCCCGATTCCCCCGCACTCCTCCAGCCTGACTCGGGCAGGGCGCGCATCCCCAGGGCCGACTCCGCAGCACCACACGGGTTAAACCCCGCTGCTCAGCGGCTCCCCCCACTCTCCCCACCCCTCCTCCCACCTCCGGGAGCGCGGCAGGGAAGGGGTTAGCGCCGGGCAGGGCTCCGGGTGCCGGCGAGGCTCGCTGGGTGCCGGGCAGTGCGGCAGTGCAGCCTCCGGGAGGAAGCGGGAGCAGCATCCCGCTCTTCCGGCCGCGCTAATGGCCGGGCGAGGGGGAGCCTCATCGCTCCGAGGGGCTTCCACCCTCCCGGCTGCTTCTCTCCCCAAATGCACTCCCCGCTTCCCCTCCCTTCGCCCCTTTTTTGTGCCAGCGCTTTCTCGGCCGATTTTTCACGCTCCGCTGACTGCCGCCGCCGCTTCCCGCGACCCGCGCGGAGCTTTCGCTGCCTCATGAAGATTTATGGGACTGCAGTAATAAACTGTGTTTGAGAGGTTCCTTCGGATGATAAAAACCCCCGCCGAGCGGCTGGCAAAGCGGGGATCCCAGCCGGATCCTGCTCCCGCGGGGCAGCGCCTGCGGCAGCACCGGGGAGGTTTTTGGGGGGGATTTTCCCTGCCCTGACTCTCAGCAGCTCCCCGGGAGCTCCTTCGCCGTTCCCGAGGATTATCACCTTAAAAAAAAACCTCGGCTATCCCTGTTTTCCCGGGAAGGACACCATGGCCGTGCCCTGCTAGCAGCCCGGGGCTCCGGCCCCGGCACGGGTGTCACCTCTGCTGGCAGGTGGCGACGATGGGTGGATGAATCGGCAAAGAGAACCGCGTTCCCTCAACCTCCCGCTGCTCGGAGAGGGGCTGGCCAGGATCTACCGCGGCATTCTGGCCGTCGTGGGAGCCCTGCGCCCGGCCAAGGAGCCGCCCGCAGCCCCCGCGGAGCGGAGCGCTGCCCCCTCCATCCCCCCGGAGCCGCTGCCCGGCCGCCGTGGGAGCCGCGCTGCGCCCGCGGGTAAGCCGGGGGACCGTCCCCGTGTGGGGACACGGCCCCGAGGGGTGTCCCGGGGGGCTGGGCTGGGCTGGGCAGCTCGGGCAGGCTCCGGCCAGCGGCTCTGCCACCCCAGTGACCTACTTGGAAGCAGCCTCGGGAAGCACTTTCCAGGGATCTGCTTGTGGCCGTGTGGGTACGGCTGGAGGAGGAGAAAAAGAAAAACAAACAAAACTTTGTGGGGGAATTGAGGTGGAATTATCCCCGGGAGGGAAGGATTAACACCCTTTAACACCCTTTAAAACCCTTTAACACCCTTTCCTGCAGTCCCTGGCAGGGTTTTCGGGTCCCTTTTCCCGAAGGAACCCCCACACTGCAGCTGTCGCTTGTTTCCTTGCGGGACCAGCCCTGCCCGCTGCGGGTGACATCTCTGGAGCGCAGGGGTGGCTGACATGAGGCCGGCGCACGTGGCTGGGGTGGCTTTTCCTCCCTCTCGCCTCGCAGGGGATTCACGGATCACAAAATTTGTGATTTTACGGGGTCGGGGCCGCCTCATCCTCGCTGGCTCCGGATGGCGGGGATGGAGCCGGCAGCGGTTGCGGCGCAGCCGGGGGTGGGGAGAGCTCCTGGGGGGGATCCAGCTCCTCCCTGACCCTGTTCGCATCATCCCTTTGAGCGGGCGAGCCGAGGAGCTGGCGCGTTCCGCTCCCGGAGCGTGTAATTAGCGAGCGGGAAGCTGCATGCTGATCACGGAGCGGGAGAGGCGGGGAAGGAGCTGGAAACGCGGCCCCAGCCCCGGGATGCTGCAGCGGGGCTGGAGCAGGCACCGGGAGGTGGTGGCGGGGAGCGAATCCCCCTCTCTCACCCCAAAATCGCCGTCCCTGCAGCTTCCTCTGGCTCCAGAGGGGAGAGGAGCTGCAGCTCCTTCCTGCCAGCCCCGGCTCTGCTGCAGCTGCGGCTGGCAGGGAGCGCCTTCATCCCTGGCCCCCGACAATTCCCTTGGGATGAGGGAAATCTGGGAGTTCCGTGGCGCTCAGGACCCGGCATCAACCAGGGACTGTTTTGGTGGGCTCGGAGTTGGGTTTGGTGGCCCCGGCTCCGATCCCCGAGCCCAAAGCAGCATCCTGGCAGCTCCCGGGGGTGCTCCAGAGCTTTTCCAGTGGGCTCCAGGGCTGGGGATGGGTGTTGGGTGCAGTTCCTGCCCAAATTTGGGCTCACGGACGCGGTGCTGCGGCGGGGGGCCGAGGCAGGGAAGGAGTTTTCCACCTGGGATCGGCACTTCCCGGTGAGGAAGGTGGGGAGAGGAGAGAGGGGCAGCTCCTGGCTGTCCCGGCGGGTCAGGACAAACTGCTCCACCGGGATTTCCCATCCCAGCTGGAATTCGGCAGCCGCTGGGACCTCGGGGTGATGCTCTCGTGGTGTCCCCTCTGCCATCAGGGGCCCCTCGGGCACCTCCCCCGGGGGAATTTGGGGTGTTGGAGGTGCCACAGCGATCTCCTCGGTGCCACCATGAGCTCCCTGGTGCCACCATGACCTCTGTGATGCCACCGTGACCTCTGTGGTGCCACCGTGATCTTGGTGCCACCATGACCTCCCCAGTGCCACCATGATCTCAGTGCCACTGTGACCTCCCTGGTGCCACCATGAGCTCCCCAGTGCCACCGTGACCTCCCCGGTGCCACCAAGAGCTCCTTGGTGCCACCGTGACCTCCCCAGTGCCACTGTGACCTCCCCGGTGCCACCATG